TATCCCAGTCTCTAGCTTTTTACTCAAGTGTTTTAATACTTTTATCACCACTCCAGTAGAGGGGATTGGGGTAGGAAACAAAGGATAATCTTGGTTAAGTGTGTGCCTTTTATATCTCAAGTGATTTTGAGGTAGAAAATGAAAAGCCATCAAAATCGCAGAAAATAATTTCCCTTACCTTTCCACCCTCTTTATGCTCCATATCTATGTCATTAGTAGTCTTGTTTTCCCATGCCTCCGCAGCTGACAAAACATGACTACACAGCCCTCCATACCCAGAATACCTTTTTTTCCAAATTCCAAATATAACCATTTTTTTTTGCCAAACTACCAAATCTCATTGCCCGGGTTCGGCACAGTGGCCTAGCAGTCTAAGTCCTTGCCTTGAAAGTGCCAGGATCCCATATGGACACCGGTTCTAATCCCAACAGCTCCACTTCCCATCCAGCTCCTTGCTTGTGGCCTGGGAAGGCAGTTGAGGATGGCCCAAAGCCTTTGACCCTGCACCTGCATGGGAGACCCGGAAGAGGTTCCTGGTTCCTGGCTTCAGATCGGCACAGCACCGGCCATTGCAGCTCACTTGGGGAGTGAATCATCAGACAGAAGATCTTCCTCTCTGTCTCTCCTCCTCCTCTCTGTATATCTGACTTTCCAATAAATATAAATAAATATTTTTTTTTAAATCTCATTGCCCATATTTGCTCTATTTCTGGCCTAGTCATTTGAGCCAGACACTAAAGTGGTCCTTATTCATTCAGGATGGGACACTGAGAGAGACTGAGAAGACTGAAAATTTTGAGCAAATTAACGAGCCCGTAGAAGATTAATGTTCAGGGCCAATGCTGTGGTGTAGCAAGTTAAGCTGTATCCCACAATGCCAGTATCCCATATTGGCAACAGTTTGAGTCACAGTTGCTGCACTTCCAATCCAGCTCCTGGGTAAAGTGCCTGTGAAATCAGTTGAATATAGAACAAGTGCTTGGGCCCTACCCTGTGGGAGACCCTGAAGACAACCCATCCTCCTAGCTAAAAGAATAGCAAAGATGTCTAGATTTGTACTGAAGATATTCTCTTTAAAAAAAAAAAAAGATTTATTTATTTTCATTGGAAAGGCAGATTTCAGAGGGGAGTAGAGACAAAGATCTTCCATCTGCTAGTTCACTCCTCAAATGGCTGCAATGGCTAGAGTAGAGTTGATTAGGAGCCATGAGCTTCCTTTGGATCTCCCACCTGAGTGCAGGGTCCCAAGTCTTTGTACCATCTTCTGCTTTTTCAGACCATACGCAGGAAACTGGATGGAAAGTGAAGCAGCCAGGACAAAAACTGGTACCCATATGGGATGCTGTAGCTTACAGGTAGAGGATTAACCAGTTGAGCCATGGAGCCAGCTCTGCTACTCCACGTTAGAACCAAGTCTCTGCTAATGTACCTGAAAGCATCAGAAGGTAGCCCAGGTATTTGGACATGTGCCATCTACATGAGACACCTGGACTTTGGCTGGGCCAGCCCCAACCATTTCTGTCACTGGAAGAGTGATTGAGCTGACAGAGCTCTATCTATAAGTTTGTTCCTCTTTTTGTAACTCTGCCTTTCAATTTAAATAATAATAATAATGAAAGAGGTTGAAACTGAGTTTCAATGTGCACAAAACAAAAAAGAATACTTCCTGAACCATCTTAACTGTAGATGTCTGTGTTCTATTCAACAAAATTTGTTGCCAGTAGGTAACTGGTGGTCGTGCCTCTTTGGTCCAAAATGAACTCAGAATTGAAGTTTTACATTGCTTGAAAATGTAGCCACCACTGGCCAAACATTGAGGTGGCACAGCACAACATGTTACTGGTAATAATTCTGAAATGTCAAATCAATTTGGGAAATGAAAAAGCTCTGGAGACACGGAGTCACAATTGCACACCAGAACGAATGATTTCCTTAGACATGTTACCTGAGACAGTGGGATGGAATGAATAACCGACTTGCATCTGCTGATTCACTGCCCAAAGTAGAAGCCAGGAACTCACTCTAGGACCCAGCTCTTTGAAGTGCTAAGCGATGCACTCCAGGATGTGCATTAGCAGGAAACTCGAATTGGGAAGGGACACATGACTTGAAAACATACTCTCTGTCATGGGATGTGGGTACAATTGTCTGCCCCTGTACTTAATACCCATGAACTGTATACTAAACAATGATTAAAGTGGGTGAATGCTTAACCTAGCACTTAAGATGTGTGCCCAGAGGGCCAGCACCCCTCCACCTGTAGCACCAGCATTCCATATGGGCACCAGTTCATCTTGTGCTTCTGATCCAGCTTCCTATTATGGCCTGGGAAAGCAGTGGAGGGTTAACCATGTCCTTGGGTCCATGCACCCAGAAGAGGCTCTTGGGTCCTGGCTTTGGATCCCTTCAGCTCTGGCCATTACAGCCATTGGGAAGTGAGCCAGCACATAGAGGACCTCTCTAACTCTGCCTTTCAAATTAAAAATGAATAGATAAAATAAATATTTAAAAAGCAAAAAAGATACATGTTCTGCATCACAATACCTGCATTCAATATGTGTGTTTTGGTCCTAGCTATAAATTCCTGTTAATGCAAACCTTGGAGAGCAGCAGTGATAGCTCTAGTAATTGGTTCTGGCTACTCATGTGGGAGACCCAGTTTACAACCTTGACTTCTGCTTGACTCTATTCTTGTCAAACAGATAATAAAATAACCATTTTTTTATTTTTGAAATGGCAAATTTGAGACAGGTGTATGGTGTTAGAGTTGGTATCTGTGACTGTGTCTGTGACTACAGCTTCCTGCTACTTGGAAGGCAGTGGCAATGGCTCAGTGGTGGGTTCTAGCCGCCTACATGGAAGACCCAGGCTGAGATCCCAGTTCCCAGCTCCAGCCCAGCTGAGTCTGGTGTTTGGGCACTAAACCAGCACTCTTAAGAATTCCTTCTTTCTGCCTGTAAGATTTAAAAAAACATTTTAAAGGTAAATTTTTTTCTGTATTATAAAAAGAAAATTATAGGGCCCGGCCCAGCTTAGCAGCTAAGGCTCTTGCCTTGTACATGCCAGGATCCCATGTGGGTACCAGTTCTCATCCCAGAAGCCCCACTTCCCATCCAGCTCCTTGCCTGTGGCCTGGGAAAGCAGTTGAGGATGGCCCAAAGCCTTGGGACCCTGCACCCGTGTGGGAGACCCAGATGAAGCTCCTGGTTGCTGGCTTTGGATCGACTCAGCTCTAGCCATTGCGGCCACTTGGGGAGTGAATCATCAGATGAAACATGTTCTTCCCTGTCTCTTTTCCTCTCTGTATATCTGACTTTCCAATAAAAACAAATAAATCTTTAAAAAAATTAATCTTTGAAAAAAAAAAAACTATTTTCACAATGTATGTAACAGGAGCTTTAAAATGTAGCATGTGACCAGTCCCAGGGCAGGGGGGGTCTGGTGGGGATTTTGGGGGTCACTGCAACTAGGCTGCAACTCCTGCTGATTCATGTGAGGGCCGAGTGTGTAGTGGGCAGGATCAAGCTGGGCTGCAGCACCCTTTGGTTTGTTTAGAAGACAGGCCTGGAGACAGAATTGCAGCCACCAGTGTGAGCATAGCATGATTTGGACAACTGACTATGCTGGACCTTGTATTGGCAAGTACACGTAACAATCAGGGCTTGTGGCTTCTTTGGGCGTCTCCCCAACTGAACCTCTGGACTTAGAACTCCAACCATGGAGAGAATTACAGGTTCTATGGTCTGACCGTGGAATGCATGTGTTAGAGCTGGGTCTCCTCAGTGGCTTAGATGAAGCAGTGGACAGAATATTCAGGTGCACATGGAGGATATGGCACTGCATTGGAACCTGGAGATCATTGCTGATCTCCTGGTTTCATAGCAGAGGACCAAGGACAGAACAAATTGATCAACCACCCTAGCCAGGTGTCAGCAGTGAATGGGCAAATGAAGACTCTAAGTTAGTGCACTGTGTCAACCAGTGGATTCTGGGGATAGTTGCTTGTGCTTGGAATGGCAAGAGGGACAGCAATTCAAAATTGTTGAACTATCAAAACCACTTAAGCGGGATTCTCAGAACATGCGTCACAACAGGGACCCTAGGATGCTGTCAGGTGGCTGTCCCCCATCCCAGGGAATTAAAGCATTTGAGAGGCTGGGTGTGGCTTCCCCCTTTTTCTCCCCTCTTCCCCCAAACACAGGAAGGAAAAAAAGAATGTGGAAACAATGGTTTCACCCACTTTCCTCAAGCCTTTTACCCCCATCACCCTAATCAATCATGTAAAAATCATCAAAAATAAAATTTTAAAAGTAGCACATACTTTGCTCTGTTGGTATCTCTATAAAATAATAAAAGCTCATTATACATTTATAAAGGTTTGCTAGTGAACTTGGTAGAAAATCTTTTTAAAAATAATTATTATCAGGACCCGGCACGGTGGCGCAGTGGTTAAGGTCCTCGCCTTGCACGCCCGGGATCCCATATGGGCGCCGGTTCTATCCCGGCAGCCCCGCTTCCCTTCCAGCTCCCTGCCTGTGGCCTGGGAAAGCAGTCAAGGATGGCCCAAAGCTTTGGGACCCTGCACCCACGTGGGAGACCCGGAAGAGGCTCCTGGCTTCGGATCAGCATAGTATCGGCCCGTTGCGCTCACTTGGGGAGTGAATCATAGGACGGAAGATCTTCCTCTCTGTCTCTCCTCTCTGTATATCTGCCTTTCCAATAAAAAATAATAAAAATAAATCTTTATAAAAATAATTATTATTATTATTAATTTTTATGCTTATACTGTAGTAAATATCTGAAAGCTCCAACAAAAACCAGATCAGAATATCATTGTGGGTGGGGTCTGTGCAGTGGCATGCAGACTAATCCTCTATGCTGCACTTAGAGAAACATTAGTCAATTATAGTTTGAATGTGAATATTCCAAATAAACTTTTAAAAAATAATTATACTCTATTAAAGAGAATTTCACTGGGTTGTGTTTTCTTTTATAAATAGATTCCAATTTATTGTGCCTAAAGAATGGAACAGCAAATACAGACCTGTGTGCATTCATCTTGCTGGAACAGGAGATCATGTAAGAATTTATTGTTAATGCCTTAATGTATCCATATTTTGATAGTAAGTTCTTCTTAACAGATGTGATTGTTAGTCATGAAGTATCTTATCTTTTTTTTTTTCCTTAGCATTACTGGAGACGACGAACACTAATGGCCAGGCCTATGATTAAAGAAGCACGAATGGCTTCTTTGTTGTTAGAAAACCCTTATTATATCCTTTCGTGTTACCTAAGGACCCTTTTCTGTGGTTTATTTATCTGTATATTCAGTCATCAAAAGAAATAATACATATACTTTTCCAAGTCAGTTAAATTTAATCATCAGTTTAAAAAATATTTAAGAATGAAGGATTATTTAATGCCTTTTAAAAACTAACCCAAGGATTGTAGTTTAATGAAAATAAATTATATTTTGGTTTCATATGGAACTTATGCTGCATGTTGATAAGTGTAATCTTTATCATCAAGAAGGCTTTTGAATGAAATGACAGAATGAGGCTTAGAACAGTTCTTAACTTAATTTTTAAAATGGTGTCAGACCATTCACAAAAGAAGAAATGAAAACTGATGCACAAATATAAAGAAATACTCATCATTAACGGAAACAGAAGAAATGTAAAGTTAGAACAACAATGACAAAATATTTAAACAAACTGCAACAAGGTACTGGTGAGGCTGCTGTCAACTGGGTATGCTTATTACTGATGGCTGTGACAATCAACTTATTGCAAAAGCATTTTAACTCAGTGTGTTTACCCTTAGAAGAACTGCATACCCAACAGAGGTTCTTATTCTGAGAATTTTTTTCTAAGGATAAAGAACTAAGAAGATTTATATAGCTCTAAGTAATAGTAAAGCATTTATAGTAGGTTAATTGTTTACAGTAGAGAAGTGATTGTATAAGTTGTTCACAATATGAGGATTCTATGCAGTTGATTGTATTGTGGTTATTGCTATGCCACTTGCCTTTGTATTTAACTTTTTTTTTTAAATTTTTTAAATTTGTGATGATGTTTACATAGTTGATCAGGATGGAAAGAGTCAAGGATTAAGAGAAAGTGGATGAGACCATTGTTTGCAAATTTTCTTTTTCTTCTCCTTTTACCTGAGGGGAAGGAATAGATAAGGGGAGAAACCCAGCCTCCCAACCACCCCGGTACCCAGGGATGAGGAACAGCCATCTGACATCATCATATGGTCCTTCCTGTGGAGCATATTGCAAGGGTATTTCACTTTTAAGTACCTAGATTTCTCATTGATAAATGGGAATAATCTCCTTTAAGATATACTTTATCCTGTCTAGAGCACTACTAGGTAAATAATAAGCATTAATAAGTTGTCAATATATGTTATTACTAAAAAGTTACAATGTGTAAGCAGTGTTTGGTATAAAGGCAAGATGTAAGATTTTATTATAGGGCAGAGATATGCAAAAAAAAAAAACCCACTCTGAAAATATAAAATATAAAACAAGCTCCATGAGGACAAATACTAGGAAGAAATACATCAAAATGTTATTGTGTTTGTTTACACAGTGAAGTAGTTTTTCTTCTGTTAATGCTTGTCTATATTTTGTGAATTTTCAATAGTCATAGAAATAGGCAAATCAGTGAAGTTCATTTTAAACTGAAGTTAAAGTTTGCACAATCCTTTAAAAATGTTGAAAACATTAACTTGGACACTTTATTATTATTTATTTATTTATTATTGTTATTTATTTTTACATTAGAAGGTTTTATTCCAGCAGGGTAGGAACAGGACAGGGTTGGTGGGAGAGTGAAGAGGAAAGAGAGAAATTGGACACTTTAAATGGGTGAATTGTGCTGTACATGTCTGTAACTCAAATGATTTTTTAAAAAGTAAGTTGGAAAACTTGAGCTTTTATAGTCTACATGAGATAACTGGAAAGTAATTATATCAGTATTAAATTGTATTACAATTGATTTTGCTTAAGTTAGTAAGCTTTGAGACAAATGATACATTTAATTCTTTTAAAACTTTTCTCTTTGACGCACATTTTTAAATGGCTGCAGGAAACCCAAAGACCAAATGTAAGTATATTTTACCTTCATTGTTATTCCCAATTTTCATAGGCTATTAAAATTTTTAGTAACCTTCAATTTCTAAATTTAAACATTCAGGTATTATGGAAATTTTTTTGTTGTTTTTGTTTGCTTGTTTTTTATTATTTTTTTATTTTGACAATCTTTACATAGTTAATTAGGGTAAAAAAGTTCAAGGACTACAGGAAAGTAGGTAAGATTATTGTTTCCATATTGTTTCCTTCATGTATCTGAGGTAAAGGTAAATTTTTTTTTTCATTTGTACCTGCATATTTATTGTAGTTTAATTCTCACAATAGCTATGATATCAAATCAACACAGATATCCACCAACTGATGACTCAAATTAGAAAGTGTGGTAAATATACACTATGAAATACTACTCAATGATAAGAAGTAATGAAATTTTGCCTTTTGCAACACAATGGATGGAACTATAAAGCATTATATTTAGCAGTGCTTTCTCTGATATGTGGCAATCAATATGGCATACAAAACTGTATAGGAATGAAATGGACATCTTTTGATACGATTGTTATTTTCAGCTCATGTAAAACTGATTTTTCTAATTTTTTACATATTGAATATTATGGTTGGTGATAAATTAATGTTGTGATTATAGAGTAGACTAAATTATATATATATATTTTTTTCTAGTAACATGTCATTTAATTTCATGGCATTGTAAATTTCTATTATTCTTTTCTCTTTTTTTTTTTATTATTATGTGATACAATTTTATAGGTACTGGGATTCCTCCCACCCCTCCCACAACCCTCCCCCCATGGTGGATTCCTCCACCTTGCTGCATAACCACAGTTCAAGTTCAGTTGAGATTCCTTCGTTGCAAGCATATACCTAGCATAAAGTCCAGCATCTTATTGTCCAGATAAGTTCAGTGGCCTCTTGGGGAGACCTTCTCTGGTGTGAAGGTAGAGCTAACAGGGTAAAGTTCCAGTCAGTTAAAAGCCCCAACAAAACATCAGCAACAATATACAATGTTATGGAATTAATTGACATAGTATTGAGTAAACAATGTTAAAGATAATGCAAGTTCAATTCTTCAAAACACATGGGTTGAGACAGTATCAATGGCAGGTTCAAAAACTAACAAGCAAATAAACAAATAAAAATTACAGGTTATATTCAAGGCAAACATGTGGTATCTAACCTTTTGGGATTCGCTCATTTCCCTTAGCATTATAGTTTCCAGTTGGGCCCATTTAGCCACAAGGTAAAGGGGGCTATTGAGGGAGAAGCCCCACCCGGTTTCCCACCCACCCCAAGTCCCGCATGTAGGGCATGCTCTGAGATACTTGCTCAAATGCTTCTGATAGTTCACCAGTTATGAATCGCTGCCAATCTCGCCACTCCAAACTTGATGAGGTCGTTAAAAAATCCACTCATTGACATTGTCCATCACAGCGTCTCTTGTATTTTGTTGCCAACCTACAGCTGAGGTGGTTGATTAACTTGTTCCATCTACTGTCCTTTCATGGTTAGGGTTCTGAGTCCGGCATTTCAGTTGGGGAGATCCCCAAAGAAACTTCGTCTGAGGTGTTCTCAAACCAGAATCTTGTATGCACCAGCAAGTACAGGGCCTAGCACAGTCTATCACCCCGATCAGCTGGTACTTGCAATTGCTGGGTTGGTTCTATTTTCAGTCCCGACTTCCACTGGAACCAATGGGTGTTGCAGACCAGACTGGTTCTGCACAGCGCATACTCGGCCATCACTTAAATCAGTGGGAGCTGCAGCCTGGTGAAAGCGACCCACAATAACCCCCACCAGGCCCGCACCCTACCTTGGTTTGCCAGTATGTGTAGCAGACTAGTCCAGTCTGTCCCACATCCCCCTTGGCTCTCGTACATGGCAATTGGCATTGAAGCTTAGATCCATCTAACCAGCTCAACAACCAAGCCCTCACGGGTATTGCTGAGTATCTCTCTGTTTAGCCACCCCAGCCCCTGTCCTAGTTTTTGTGCCCTCCCGTGGGAGTGGTAACCCAGGAGGGGAGAACCCACTATTTCCCTCCCAGGTCTCTCACTCCTGGATTGTGCACTTTCCAGGTGGTTCTGTGGTTTAACCTGACAGAATTAACCCCCAGTGCCAGCTTCTGCCAGCTGATGCTACGGTTACACCCAAACAACCTTGCTCACTCAAATTGTAGATTGCACCAGTAGGAATAATCAGCTCAGCCTGACTTTTCCCTGATGTAACCACATGAGGCACACAGGTGTTATAGCCCTACTTAGTCTGATCTGCCCCCATCCCAGTTCATGCTCTCCAGTGGGAGTAGCTGAAATTTTAGTATTCATTTTAGTTTAATTTCCCTTTTTAAAATTTATTTATAATAAACGCTATTCTTTATTCTTGTAATACATAGTATGCAAAATCTGAAGATAAGCTTTCTGATCTTTTAAAATGATGAACTTTGAAGGTAATTGGTTTAAACTTTTGCAATATCTATTGTGTTTGATGTAGTTTATGTGGACATTGGGAACACAACAGTAACACAGGGTCCTCTCATCCAGCTCATATTAATGGGGGAGATAAAAAATGAAGTGACTTCTGATGTTTATCAGTGCCAAAAAGTGACTGTTGTAAAGATTAGCCAGAGTGCTGGCAGTGGCAATAGAAGTTTTCCTGGATTCAGAATCAAATTCACAAGTTGAAATAACACTTCATGAATTGGATGTAGTGGTGGGAACGTTATGCCTTGGATATGTTAAATTTGTGATTTCTGTTATACCTGCAAGTAGAGAAAACAAGCAGAAAGAAAGTACTGAAAATGCAGATTTGAAAGTACATGTTCTGTGCAGTCATGGCTTGAAAGAAAAATAGGTTTAAGTAGTATGGGGTACATACTATAGGTAATTGAGAATGACCCTGGATAGATTTGAATGAACTCATGAAACCTTGTGAAAAACTGAATTTTACAATAAATAGTTCCAGAATTTCTACTCTGGAATCAAGTCCTGAACTCAGAATTAGTTATGGCATTTTTGCCCTATCTGTATTTTAGTTAAAAACCAAAAATTAAGTTTATGAGATATGAGAAAGTGTAAGAGAAAGACAAACTGTGGCATCAATAGATATATATTATAATTGAAATATATTGTTTGCTGCTTGTATGGCTTTGGCTTTTTTATGTACCAATTAATTTATGAAATGAGAGTACGGTATCATCCTTCCATATAGAATTAACGTTAGAATTTTAATGTTCATAAAATAGTACATGCTACCTACTCAAGAAATATAGTAATGGTCTCATGTATAAAATTTTTAAGAAATAATCCTTGAAAATGTATATAGTAATGAAGTCCTGGGGTCCACCATATCCAGATGTGGGGATATAATGCAACATTCATTCCTACTTCCAGACAAATAACGGATTCCCAATGAAACTGTTGGAAATGTGCAGACAATGGGATGCTGGACTGTCTGACACTTTCTGTACCAGCAATGTCAGGGTACACTTAAATATGAGAATGATGGAATTGTGATTCCTTATGAAGGACTATACCATTGTAATAAAATGGTGAAAATCTGTCAGGAAGGATGGAACTTTGGGGGCAGGAATCCCAGCCTATCCGATATTGTGCCACATAATTCAAAATTAAAAATTAAAAAAAAATTTATTAATTGTATTGCATTATGTGACACAGTGTTATAGGCACTGGGATTCCCCCTCCCCTCCCTGAACCCTCTCCCCATGGTGGATTTCTCCACCTTGCTGCATTATCATAGTTTAAATTCAGTTGCGGTTCTTTCATTGGAAGTATTTACCAAGCATAAAGTCTAGCATCTTATCCTAGTGAGTTCAACGATTTCTTGGTGAGACCATCTCTGATGTGAAGGTAAAGCCAGCAAAGCATCATGCCAATCAATTAAAAGCCCCAACATAACATCAACAGCAATTTACAACGTTATGGCATTAATTAACATGGTGTTATCAGTTTAGGTACAGAACCTTTTTTTTTTTTTTTTTTGAAGGGTGTGCAGAGAAATCCCCAATACCCCAGTGAGGCGTAACTGATCTTTGTGTCCCACCTAGTGAAGTATGAGTGAATCCCCACTGACCATTTGCTGTCTGATTCTAAGCTTTCCTTGTTGTTGTCTGTCCATTCTAGGTTTTTTGTTTATTTGTTTTGAGGGGTTTCTGGAGTGATCCTGATGGTCATCCTTAAGTAGGAAGTAGGTTGTAATTTGAGCACAACTAATATTTCTTTTTAAAAGTCATAACTCTGTTTTTATCAAAAGTGATTAAATAATTTGAGGCTAAGCATATAGTTATAAATAATTCTCTGCATCAGATCCTCATGTCAAAAATGTCCAAGTAAAAATGGAAGCCTAGGTTAATCTGAGAATTTAAGACTTCCTCTATACAAAAACAAAATAAACAGAGCAACTATGAATTCATTAGTGAAAACTTTTTCTTAAGACTAGGCAACAGAGAATAACTGGGTTCTTTTCTGAGGACATGTGAGTGTGAGTGATTTTCTTATGCATAATAGTATGGTTTCTAGCCTTTTAGACCAAGAACTTTGAGAGGAGTTGAGAAGAAACACACTTCACTGGGGCCTAACATTCTTGTTGTCATACTTGACATTATGGCAACTGCTGCTTCTCCTGTAATTATTATGGGTAGGCATACAATAAAAAAGTCACTAGTAAGTGAATATTTGTATACTTTGACAAGGTTTCATCATGTAGCCAGTTTTGGAAGTGTTTATACAAATTTCATTTTTGAAGAATAGGTTCTAATTTATTTACACTAATAATGAAAACAATACTTTTTAATCAAGATGATTTCAGAATCTAAAAGTATGTATTGAAGTACCTTTAAGGAAATGTACTTCCATGCAAATTTTGATTTTAAAACATAACATAAGGGCCCGGCGCGATTGCGTAGTGGTTAAAGTCCTCACCATGCATGTGCCAGGATCCCATATAGGCGCCAGTTCTAATCCCGGCAGCCCTGCTTCCCATCCAGCTCCCTGTCTGTGCCCTGGGAAAGCAGTCGAGGACGGCCCAAGGCCTTGGGACTCTGCACCTGCGTGGGAGGCCCGGAAAGAAGTTCCTGGCTCCTGGCTTCGGATTGGCTCAGCTGCAGCCGTTGTGGCCGCTTGGGGAGTAAAACATCGGACAGAAAATCTTCCTCTCTGTCTCTTCTCCTCTGTGTATATTCTCCTTTCCAATAAAACAAAACAAACAACAAAATCTTAAAAAAAAATAATAGAAAATTGCACTGGAATTGCTCCTTTAAGTTAAAATAGGTTATTTATACAAATTTGTATTTGCAATTTGTTATTGCATAAATTGTGTATTTTGTGACAATAAGCAATACATTTAAAATTTCAGTAATAGATGAGCTTACTATTAAACTGAATTCTTATGACTTTTTAGAAAACTTTATGGTTTAAATTCTGTTAATAAGACAAATGTAAAGTTGTTTCTTCTTTAGCAGCAGCGATAATTTTACTAAAAATTGTCAATATTAAAATATTTCACATAAATTCTTAAACATTAAGTATACTAGCAAGTATATAAAGTAATCTTCAAAATAGTCACTGAAGTAATTGAAATTCAGTAAAGATTATAACAGACACTTTGTTTAAGTTTTGTGTGACAAACATGTAGAACAGGGCTGGCAACATTCTAATTCCATTAATATTGCACTGTTGTACTTGACAGTATGGTCTTTTAAGACAAAACCATGTTTGCCTGTTGTAAATTCTTATTAAAAGCGTACATGTCTGAAATAAATCGTTTTTGTTTTGTTTTGTGAGGCTAGAAGATCCAGCTTAAAAAACGTGTCTGATCTTTTTGTGATGGGAGGCGCTCTTGTTTTAGAATCGGCAGCGCTCTTGCACTGGCTGGAGAGAGAAGGTTATGGACCTCTAGGAATGACCGGAATATCCATGGGAGGACATGTAAGCCTTTTTGTTTCAATTTATATTTAATTATGATTACGGGAACAAGATCTACAGAATCTGTTATGTATTTGTTTTTATTTGAAAGGCAGATTTGAGAGGGAGAAACAGAGATCTTAGATTCACTGGTTCAGTCCCCATGGGACCACAACAACCTGAGCTAAACCAATCTGAAGCCAGGAGTCAGATTCATCCGGGTCTCCCATGTGAGTACAAGGAGCTCAAAGACCTGGGTCATCCTTCAGTGCCTTCCCAGCACATCAGCAAGGAGCTGCAGCAGAGGTGAAGCAGCTGGAACATGAACTGCCACCCATATGGGATGCTTGTACAAAGGGGAGGCTTAACTGGCTGGGCCACAGTGCAGTCCCTGGGCTTTTAATCCACCCCCCCCCTTTTTTTTTTTTTTTTGGTTTTTTGTTTTTAACATTTATTTGAAAGAGTTACAGAGAAGAAAAGACAGATCTGTTACTGTTAGACTGCAGGGATGGCCACAATGCCAGGGCTGGTCAGGCTGAAGCCAACAGCTTCACCCTGCTCTCCTATGTGGGTGGCATGGCTGTCTTCTGATGCTTTTCCCAGGCAAACAAGAAGAGGCTAGCTCAGAAGTGGAGCAGGTTTGGAATCTTTCCTACTGTCACTAATATTAAAAATAATTCTGTACCTAAAGTGAATTTAAGAGATAACCAGAGAGGCTAGCATTGTGGCATAATGGTTAGTGTTGTTATCTATAATGCCAATCATCCTTTAGGGATGACAGTTTCAGCTTGGCTGGTCTACTTAAATCCTGCTTCCTGCTTATAGCCTGTGAAAAGCATCGGAAGATGGCTCAAGGCTTGGGCCCCTGCACCCACATGGGACACCAGAATGAAGCTCTTGGCTTCAGTTAGGTCCAGCCATGGCCAAGGTTGCCGTCTGTGGAGTAAGCCAATGGATACATGACTTTGGTCTTTCCTTCTCTCTGTGTAACTCTGACTTTCAAATAAATAAGGATTTATCTTAAGAAACAGGGCCCAGCGCCATGCTTTACTGCCTAAATCCTCACCTTGCAATTGCCAGGATCCCATATGTGCACCTATTCATATCCTGGGTGCTCCACTTCCCATGCGGCTCCCCATTTGTAGGCTGGGAAAGCAATTGAGGACAGCCCAAAGTCTTGGGACCCTGCACCCACATGGGAGACTTAGAAGAAGGTCCTGGCTTCAGATCAGCTCAACTCCGTCTATAGCAGTCACTTGGGGAGTGAACCAGCAGACTGAAGATCTTTCTGTCCCTTCTCTCTGTAAATCTGCCTTTCCAATAGAAATAAATAAATCCTGAAAAAAAAAAAAAAAGAACAGAACAGGGCCAGCACCATGGCACAGATGGCACAGTATGTTAATGGCCTGGGAAAGCAGCAGCAGATGTCCCAAGTGCTTAGGCTCCTGCACCCCACGTAGGACAACCAAATGGAGCTCCTGACTTTGGATTAGGCCTAGTCCAACCTTTGCAGCCATTTGGGGACTTAGCCAGTGGATAGACAAACTCTGTGTTTCTCTCTCTAACTATAGCTTTCAAGTAAATAAATCTTTAAAAAAAAAAAAAAGATGATTATAAAATTTTGCTTACTTTTGCTATTGAATTGGAAAGGATAGCTGAATTGGGGGCCCGGCAGCATGGCCTAGCAGCTAAAGTCCTCGCCTTGAACACATCAGGATCCCATATGGGCACCAGTTCTAATCCCCGCGGCCCTGCTTCCCATCCAGCTCCTTGATTGTGGACTGGGAAGGCAGTCAAGGAAGGCCCAAAGTTTTGGGACCCTGCACCCAAGTGGGAGACCCAAAAGAGGCTCCTGGCTTCAGATTGGCTAAGCTCCAGCCATTGCGGCCGCTTGGGGAGTGAATCATTGAACGAAAGATCTTCCTCTCTCTCTCTCTTCCTCTCTCCTCCTCTCTGTACATCTGCCTTTCCAATAAAAATAAATATTTAAAAAGAAAAAGCAAGATAGCTGAATTGGATAATGACTTTAATATTCTTTTCTTTTAAGATTTATTTATTTACTTTTACTGGAAGGTCGGATTTATAAAGAGGTGGAGAGACAGAGAGAAAGATCTTCCACCTGTTTATTCCCCAACTGGCCACAGCTGTTGAAGTTAAGCCAATCCAAAGCCAGGAGCCAGAAGCTTCTTCTGGATCCCCCACACGGGTGCAGAGTCCCAAGACTTAGGCCATCCTCAACTGCTTTCCCGGGCTGCAAGCAGGGAGCAGGATGGGAAGTAAAGTAATGGGGACACAAACTGGAGCCATAGGGGATGTGGGCACATGCAATGCGAGTACTTTAGCCACTGCGTTATTTCACCAAGTGCCAAAATTTTTTTTTTAAGATTTATTTATTTTTATTACAAAGTCAGATATACAGAGAGGAGGAGAGACAGAGAGGAAGATCTTCTGTCCGATGATTCACTCCCCAAGTGAGCGCAACGGTCGATGCTATGCCGATCCAAAGCCAGGATCCAGGAACTTCTTCCGGGTATCCCACACAGGTGCAGGGTCCCAAGGCTTTGAGCCATCCTCGACTGCCTTCCCAGGCCACAAGCAGGGAGCTGAATGGGAAGTGGAGCTGCAGGGATTATAACCAGCGCCCATATGGGATCCCGGTGCGTTCAAGGCGAGGACTTTAGCTGCTAGGCCACGCCGCCGGGCCCCCCAAGATTATTTTTAAAGCATTTATTTGTAAGGCCCCCATTTGGGATTGCAGGTAGTGAAACAGCCATTTCATGAAGCCTGCTCTGATTCCTCAAGCCAGAATTTTTTCTCTTGTACAAACATGTAGTACATAATTTGTATGTGTTGTATAATATTCTCTTTTCTTCACCAGTGTCCTGATATCCTCAAACTATTCCAGAAGTCTGAGGTTTCATAGTTATGGTTTTCCTGTATGTGGTCAAGGCACATAAGTAAATGGCTGAGCCCACTGTCCATGTCTTCATGTCAGGGCATTTGCTGTATATCTACACAGTAGGAAGTAACTTTCAATGAAAGATCTTGAAGTTGCCTAATTTTTTTTTTTAAGATTTACTCTTTTTTTTTTTTTCTATTGGAAAGGCAGATTGACAGAGAGGAGATACACAAAGATTTTTTTGCCCACTGGATCACTCCCCTAGTGGAAACAATGGCCAGAGCTGAGTTGATCCAAAGTGAGGAGCCAGGAGCTTCTCTCCAGGTCTCCCATGAAGGTGTAGGGTCCCTAGGGTTTGGGCTGTCCTCGACTACTTTGCCAGATCACAGACAGGGAGCCTGATGGGAAGTGGAACAACAGGGAAATGAAGAGGTGCCCGTATGGGATCCTGGAGCTTGCAAGGCAAGGATTTACCACTGAGCCATAGCACTGTACCCAAATACCTTAATTTTTTTCTATTATACTTCATGCTTTCTAATGGAGAAGTTGCATGTTATTGCATTTATGATTTGGGATGTTTAACAAGGTCATTTTTCATTTTAGTGAATGGAAATTTTAATGAAACGTTCTAAAAAACTGTTATGTTATATTACAGATGGCCTCCTTAGCCGTATCCAACTGGCCTAAGCCCATGCCTTTAATTCCATGTCTGTCTTGGTCCACAGCATCTGGGGTCTTCACTACGGTAATTTAGTTGCAATCAATATTTACTTGTTTATTTGCAAATTTTTATTTATTTACTTGAAAAATACAGAGACATCTGTTGGTTCATCCCAAAAGTACCCAAAATAGTCAGAATTGGTCCAGGTTGCAGCCAGGAAGGAACTTCTGTGTTTTCTCTGTGGTTATCAAGCACTTGCTCTCCCTGGCATGTGCACCAGCAGAGCCAGGGCTTCAACCCAGGCCATAACAGCTATGCCAAATGCCTATCCATGTTATTAGCATTTAAACAGCCAGTTAGGAATATAATTATAAGTAGGTGTTTGGGAGTCTCCGTAACTGCATCCAGGTTTGATATTTCATCAAAAGGAACCACAGTACTTGACACAAAGTCCTAATCACCCGTAAGACTATTGAAAAGGTGAAACACAAAATCATCAGAATTGGCAAAGCATCTAAGTCGAAGTCTTGGGGAAGGCAGGCATCACTCTGGAAGAGTCCTCTCTTCATGGGGTTTTACGGTTTGTGCTTACCTGTTTATGTTGTGCTAGCATGTGCAAAGTGTTGGCTATCAGTGAAGCTGGCATGATAGTGTGATTTGAATGAACTTAATTAAGTTTATTATTTTAGGGTGTGTTGAGTAAATCCATTAATTGGAGAGAGCTGGAAAAGCAGTATTATACACAAACAGTTTATGAAGAAGAAATTATTCACATGCTTGAATACTGTGGAGTAAGTATTTTAATTTCTATAGAGCATGAGGTAGAAAGGTTTTTTTGGTTAATGATTCACCTTGTTGTTTTTTTGTTTTTTAAGTTATTTTGTCAGCTAACAAGGTTGATTGCTTTTATTTATTTTTATTGGAAAGTAAGATATATAGACAGGAAGTTTTTCCAACTGATGATTCACTCCCCAAGTAGCCACAACAGCCGGAGCTGAGCTGATCCAAAGCCAGGAGGAGCCCAGAGCCTCTTCTGGGTCTCTCACACAGGTGCAGGGTCCCAAGGCTTTGAGCCATCCTCGACTGCTTTCCCAGGGCACAAGCAGGGAGCTAAATGGGAATAGGGCTGCTGGAATTAGAGCCAGCACCCATATGGGATCCTGGTGCATGCAAGGCAAGGACCTTAGCTGCTAGGTAACTGTGCTGGACCCACCTCGTTTGTTTGTTTAGAGATTTATTTACTTATTGGAAAGTCAGATATACAGAGAGGGAGATCTTCTGTCTGATGATTCACTCCTCAATGGCCGATGCTATGCCAATCCAAAGCCAGGATCCAGGAACCTTCTCCGGGTCTCCCACGCGGGTGCAGGGTCCCAAAGCTTTGGGCCTTCCTCGACTTCTTTCCCAGGCCACAGGCAGGGAGCTGGATGGGAAGTAGAGCTGCCGGGATTAGAACCAGCGCCCATATGGGATCCTGGTACGTTCAAGGTGAGGACTTGAGCCGCTAGGCCATGCTGCCGGACCTACACCTTGTTTTTTTTAAAAAAAAAGATTTTGCTTATCTGAAAGACAAGAGTTTACAGAGAAAGGGAGAAACAGAGAAAAGAAGAAAAGCGATCTTCCATCCACTGGTTCACCACTCAAATGGCCAAAATGACTGGAGCTAGACCAGTTCAAAGCCAGGTACCTGGAGCTTTCTCTGAGTTTCCTGAGTGGGTACAAGAATGTGAGCATTGCTCCATTGCTTTTTCAGGTCATTAGGAGAGAATTAGATCAGAAGTAGAACAGCCAGAACTTGAACCAGCACCCATAGGGGATGCCAGCATTCCAGGCCTTAGCTTAACCTGAAACAGCAGCGAATCTACCCCATTTTGTTTTCTTTAGGATGTATTCCTTATAGAATTCTGGCTACATGTTTCTCACAGTTCTCTCTGTGTAACTCTGCCTTTCCAATCAAATAAATAAATAAATTGGAAGCTGCGTCTACAGGCTTGATAAAACTCAAGGTTTGAATTTCTTAACAATGCTAATATATAATGTCTAGGGGTGTGTGTGAGAGAAAGACAGAGATAACAAGCTTCCCCTGATGCTTGCTATTATACCTGTTAATTCACTGAGGGTTACACAATGTTGATATCATAATTGTACAGTTTTTTAAAATTTTGATTGGATATTCTCATAGAAATAATTTCTTCTCTATTAGTTACCTAGTAGTACACCAAGGAAGGGCTTCATTTACTGTGCCAAAACACCTACCTTCTGATATATATTTTTTTTAATTTATTTATTTTTATTACAAAGTCAGATATACAGAGAGGAGAGACAGAGGGAGATCTTCCATCCGATGATTCACTCCCCAAGTGAGCCGCAACAGCCGGTGCTGCGTCAATCCGAAGCCGGGAACCAGGAACCTCTTCCGGGTCTCCCACATGGGTGCAGGGTCCCAAAACTTTGGGCCGTCCTCGACTGCTTTCCCAGGCCACAGGCAGGGAGCTGGATGGAAAGTGGAGCTGCCGGGATTAGGACTGGCGCCCATATGGGATCCTGGCGCGTTCAAGGCGAGGACTTTAGCCGCTAGGCCACGCCGCCTGGCCCCCTGATAATTTTTAATTCTTAATTCAACCCGAGAAAGGGATAGAGCGTGGAGACTCTTGAGCTTTAATTTATATTATGGCCGGGATACTTGCATAAGTTCTAAGGTTCAGGCAGATCATGCATTTCAAAAATTTTGCAATAAAATATGGTATAAAGACTGAGCGATACTTCTTACTATTTAGTAGGAAGCATTCAGTAATAAAAGTATGAATCATTTATCTTAGTCCTCAGCTAGATTTTGACATTTCTCTTATTTTTTTAAAGAGCATGGTAAATATAAACACATACAAAGTACTGTTCTAAAGGTTTTAGAAGCATATAGACGCATTTAGAAACTTTACAGTGTTGTTCTGCATCACTGCTGTCCATCTCCAGAACTTTTTCATCTTCTGAGGCTGAACTGTATGTATTCAATAATGATTGATTCCCTTCCCTTACACCCTGGCAACCACTGTTTTTTTGTTTTGTTTTGTTTTGTATGTATATGTTTGGCTACCATAGGGACCACTTGCAAGTAAATCGTAACATTATTTGTCCTTTTTTTTTTGCCTGTTTTTTCATGTAACAGTGTCTTCATGTTCTGATCTGTGTTTTAACCTATTAGGATTTCATTCCTTTTTCTATAAACTAAAAATTACTGCGTTGAATATTTTTACTACAGTCTATTTAGACATTTGTTTTCACTTTGCTTTAGCAAGATTGTTAGTTAACACCTCATATTAAATGTTTTATTTTCTTTCATTCATTCAGACAGATTCTTTCAAGATGGGACAAGAGTTTGTGAAGCATTTCTCTAGCACTGCTGACAAACTAACTAACCTTAATCCAGTTTCTAGAACCTTAAGTGCAGATGTGACAGATCAAGTTGTGTCCCCACAACCTGCTGAGTGCCATAATCCTAGTAAAACATCTATCAGTGCCACATCAAAAGGACTCTTGGTGCAAGACACCTCTAAGATGGAGTGCTTCGGTCCAGCTCCCTCAACCAACAAAAGTAGTTACGCAAGTTGTAGCCCTCAGTCATACCACCTACTCAGTAAAGAACAAAGAAGAAACAATCTTCAGAAAGAATCTTTAATATTTATGAAAGGAGTCATGGATGAATGTACTCACGTTGCAAATTTCTCAGGTATTAATATTTATATGAAATTTATAATATTGTATGTCAGGAGTTGCAGAATATTTTTAAATGCTTTATAAGGTAAATACATTTTGGGGGGAAATCTGTTAATTTATTTGAAAGTCAAAAAGAGAAGACAAGCTTCCATGCTCTGGTTCTTTCCCTAAATGGCCACAATGCCAGGGGCTGGCCCAGGACAAATGCGGGAACCACCTGCTTCTTCTAGGACTCCCATGTGGGTGCAGCAGCTAAAGCCCTCAGAACAGCCTCCACTGCTTTTCTAGGCACGTTAGAAGGGAACTGGATTTGAAGTGGAGTGGCCAGGACTCAAACCAGGGCCCCTTATGGGATACTGGTTCTGCAAATGATAGCTTAACCTTATGCACCACAACACTGGCCCCAGTGTATATTTTGCTGGCCCGTATCCTCCAAGATAAGTTGAATTAATTGAATGTTTCTTATTTTATACATGAAATTCTAAGTTCTTCTTAGTCCTTTAAAAACACATTGGATTTTGTATCTTCTTTAGAATATTTATCTCATATTTTATAGTTAATTTCTAATTTACAGAGTTTACATTTGACATGTTTATTACATTGTGTGGTTTATCTTATTATGTAATACAATTAAGTTTACATAGAATCTTAACTTCTTTTTTAATGTATTCTACATTTTTAAAAATCCTATACCTAGTTCCAGTTGACCCAAGCCTCATTATAGTGGTACAAGCCAAAGAAGACGCATATATTCCACGAACAGGAGTTCGAAGTCTGCAAGAAATTTGGCCTGGTTGTGAAATCCGATATTTAAACGGGGGTCATATTAGTGCTTATCTTTTTAAACAAGGACTCTTCAGGTAAGATGATCTTACATGTCTGTCTGTATTATTGGGGCTTCTTATTTTTTTTTTTGAAAAATTTACTAACCTATAATACCTGTACATTTTTAATGGGGTATAGTGCAGTATTTCAATCTGTATACACCATAAACCAAGCTATTGGAGCTATGTTTGAATAAACTACATGGATAGCAGGGACCCAAGTATGGTGGTGGGCCATAGTTCACCACCTTCCCAAGTACTTTAGTAGGAACCCAAAGTAGCTGGAACTCAAAATGGTACTCTGACATAGGATGCAGGTGTCACAAATGGCAGATTAATTGGCTGTGTCACAGAAAAATCTAGAGTTTGATTTTTTTTTTGAGATTTAATTTATTTTTATTGCAAAGTCAGATATACAGAGAGGAGGAAAGACAGAGAGGAAGATCTTCTGTTCGTTGATTCACTTCCCAAGTGGCCACATTGGCCGGAGCTGTGCCATTCCAAAGCCAGGAGCCTGGAGCCTCTTCCAGGTCTCCCATGTAGGTGTAGGAACCCAAGGCTTTGGACCATCCTCAACTGCTTCCCTAGGCCACAAGTTGGGAGCTGGATGGGAAGTGGAACAGCTGGGATATGAACCAACTAGCGCCCATATGGGATACTAGTGTATGCAATGTGAGGCCTTTAGCTAATTTTGATCCAGCTCTCTGCTAATGGCTTAGAAAGGCAGCAGAGGATGGCTTAAGTACTCGGATCCCTGTATCCATGCGGGGACAGACTTCCCTTGAGGTCCCCAACCTTTTCATACCTGTTTGGAGAGGAGGTTATGTTTCAAGGCATAGATTTTGAAAAGAGAGTGAAAGAAAGGTCTCATGTCATAGTGACAGAAGGGGGCTGTAAGGCAGGAAAGACCAGTTCTTTTTAATTTTTATATAAATTATACCAGTTATATATTTGAGAGAGAGAAGGGGGGTTGGAGAGAGAGAAAAGAAGCTCCATCCATTCATTGCTTCACTCCCCAAATGTCTGAAGCAGCTGGTGCTGGGACAGAAGCAAAATCTTGATCTGGAAATGCCACCTAGATCTCCCACAAGGGTGGCAGGAATCCAATTACTTGAGCCTTCACCTCTGTCTTCTAAGGTTTGCATTGGCAGGAAGTTGGAGTAGAGCTGGACCTGGGAGTTGAACTAGGAACTCTAATGTGAGACACAAGTGTCTTTAACCACTAGACTAAATGCTTGCTTCTGGAGGAAAGGTGTTGTGTTTCCTACGTTTTTGCTAATTCCTTATAGTTTTTCATATTTAATTTTAGACAAGCCATTTATGATGCATTTGAACGCTTCCTTCGTAAATATGCTAACTAATTGGATCACTGAATGTAATCAGCGTAGCCATCATGTTTCTTACAAAAGAACTTTGATCCTGTGATGATGTGAAGAGCAAGAAACATCATTGATACCTGTCAACTTAATGTGCAGTCAACTGTAAAATATAATTGAACAATTTAGAAACAGTATTTCAGTTAAATAGCATTGAAGTATTTTTGTTATTATTTGTGGGAATCCCATATACTCGATGCCTAATTTGTTGCTATTTATAAAATCTGTAATATTTATAATTATGAATAATTTATTCATTTAAAATACATTTGTTCATAGAACCTTTTGTTTTTTAATAGAATTGTTAAATTAGACTAAGATTATAATAAATCAGCCTGTACTGTGAAGTTTTATATAACATTTCAGCTATTGGCCCATTTTGGGAAGCATACTTATTTCATTTGTGGAAGCATGATGAAGTGAAAATCTTGTTTTCAGCTTTCATTTTCTATCATGAATTTATAGTTATATATTAAATCAGTGTTAATTTGTAATTCTAAAAACTCTGAATTGCCTAATAAGTACTTTTAGCAATTAAAATGAGTGTTGAAATGCAGATAAGATCCATTAGACTTCACTAGGTTTTAAAATTTTAAGAAAAGTTATATTTTAAAAATGTCAGGCATATTTCCCTTAAGAAGTTTCAATTCATGGAAAATGGAAATAATTGAAGACTTATACGTTAATTCATATATGTGATCATTTTATTATAAATAGCACTTTTTAGTGTGCTAAGTATATGCTTTATTTTCACTCAATTAAGTAGTTTTGACTTTTTAATTTCAGAATTTTAAGGCCATTTATGAAATTGATTGCGCCCATATAAACTTCACTTTTCAGAAAAGATTTAAGTTTTATGTAGCAACCAATTTTTGTAAATGGAAGATTATATGGCTAAATTTGGTGCTTTCTTCTCCAGCAAAAAACAAAGTGTTAAAGGAAAAAAAAAAATTGGGGATGTTGTGAAAGTTTGGAGTAGGTATATTAAGTTTTGTTTGATATCTGTGTTGTCAAACAATGTATACTTGGTCTGTCTGGTAAGGATATTTGAATTATAATGTGCCTTTGCAGCCTTTTGAAAGATTTCTGTCACTCCACTGCTTCTCCGCCATCTTAATTTTCTACAACTATTTTAATATTATTTATCACATTAATATATTATGAATGAATATCACATGAATGTGATAAATCTAATGTCATTGATAGCAAACAAGTAACTAATCAAACTAACCAAGTATAACTGATTGAACTGTAGCAATTTTACATGTTCAGATCATAAATTTTAGTTTCAACTGGAAGTGTGAAGTCTACGAAGTTTCTTCTACATAGCAGTGTATAAAGTGTGTCAGCCAAGTTGCAACAAGTTTCTTAAATGTACATATAGCTAGGTACATGATTGGATGCTTTCTGAGCTATGGCTTTAGTAAACACAACCTTTTATTATTATTCACATAAACATATGTTGTGAATCCATAACTACTGTGATATTTGAACTCCCATTCTGTAAAATAATGAGATTCCAACCTAGTTTTAATTAAGACATGAAGATGTCCAGGGCTTGTGTCAGAGGTTCGTCCATGTTCCTGATCTTTGGCCTCAATTGAGTTACATCCTTGATCCTCCTGGTTCTCAGGCTTCGAACTTGGGCTGAGTTAACATTTCCAGCTTATTTGAGTCTCCAGCCTCTATCATCACAGGAAACAGTTTACATAGCAAACGTCCTCTTCTCTTTCTGCCTGTGTATATCTAATTGAAGAATGCTAATGGATCACACAACTCTAAACAAGAATTGATGCAAGGTCCTAAGACAGACAGACAGGGCTTACAATGTAAGTGTTTTGACTGACTGAGAAACTATAGAATCTGGTTTTGTTTTGTTTTTGTTTTTGTTTTTTTTTTTGACCCCCAGGTCTGCAGTAGAAGTACAATAAGCAAATTACTTGAAAAAAATTTTTCCTAGCTACACATTTCAGCTATAATTAAATCCAAGTGCAAAATACTTTTCTTAAAGACCTTTTAAATCTGTTCCCCAGAAGAGTGGCTTAAGAATTTTCAAATGCACACACACACATTCACACTCTGTTGTTTCTGATTGTTTCCCGTAGCTGCTCAGTTCCCATGGATAACATGGCATAGTATCTGCATGTAACCTGTTCATCCTCCTGTAGGTTTTCAATCATCTTTAGATTACTTAGAATACTTAATGCAATGTAAATGCTATATAAATCATTGTTATACCGTTGTTTTAGTAATAAGAACAAAAAAATGTCTGCACACATTCAGTGCAGATGCATTTCTTCTTCCTGAATATTTTTACTTGCAATTGGCCGAATCAGAGGATTTGGATCCTACTGATGCTGAGAGCCAGCTGTGCATAAATGTATGTTCAAAGAAGTTCCCTCTGCCATTCTGAGGATTTGATACATAAGATGTTAAAAATTCACTTAGACCAGAGTTACAAGCTGGCAGTCACAGGCCACTCTGGCCCACTGTTGTTTTGTCATACATAATGTTTACAAAGATTTTGAATTTGAAGTTTTTAAGTTGAGCATATATTCCCAGGTTTGCTACACTCCACTAGACTCCTTCTTAGATCACTTCCATATTTCCTACTTAGTCCTGAAGACACCCAAGTTTGACACCCCTTATTTGGATCTGTGGTAGGAAAAGTTTATGAATTTCATGATTTGTTGATGTTGTAATCCCTATTAAATCGTTTTAGCATATGCATTTTAGATTGTTTCTTATGAATGTATCTTTTTAATGTGGTGCTTTCTCATAAAGATTATTAACATTGTAACTGAAAGTTTAAAATAATTTCTAAATGTTTTGTATTTCACAATAAAAATTATTTTAATTATTTGAAGTTTTTCAAGAAGTATTATTCCAAATACAGAAAATATGTCAAATTTGCCCTGGATAGATATGTTCTCCATGAGCTAATTATGCCCAAACAAAGGTAAAGGATATTCCAGTCAGTGTCAGTATCTTCATAGCAAGAATTGTGTTTCTGCCACAGTGTGAAGAGATCTTAAAGAGATGAGCATTCTGAGGTCTACAGCTATCTGAATATTATAGGACTCAATCCTGTGTTTGATTACATTTATACTAGTAAATGGAACAAAAGGCTGGACTGGGAGTGGGGCCCTGGGTAGAGGCTACTATACAAACTGTGTGTATAAATATTAGGTGCAATTTTGACAGGTGAGACAAACGAATTGGGTGCGTTTGAGAGTTGAACCATCCATTTTTTTTTTTAGATTTATTTTTAATTTTTATTGGAAAGGCAGATATACAGAGAGGAGAGACAGAGAGAAAGATCTTCTGTCCGATGATTCAATCCCTAAGTGAGCACAACAGCCGATGCTATGACAATCCAAAGCCAGGAGCCTCTTTTGGGGTTCCCGTGTGGGTGCAGGTTCCCAAAGCTTTGAGCCATCCTCGACTGCTTTCCCGGGCCACAGGCAGGGACCTGGATAGGAAGTGGGGCTGCCTGGATTAGAACCGGCGCCCATATGGGATCCCAGGCGTGCAAGGCGAGGACCTTAACCACTGCGCCACTGGGCCGGGCCCTGAACCATCCATTTTTAAAAACGATTTATTTATTTATATTGGAAAATCAGATATACAGAAAGGAGGAGAGACAGAGAGGAAGATCATCCGATGATTCACTCCCCAAGTGACAGCAACGGCCGGTACTGCGCCGATCCAGAGCCAGTAAGCAGAAACCTCTTCCGGCTCTTCCACACGGGTACAGGGTCCCAAGGCTTTGGGCCATCCTCCACTGCTTTCCCAGGCCACAAGCAGGGAGCTGGATGGGAAATGGAGCTTCCAGGACATAAACCGGCAGCTATGTGGGATCCTGGTACATGCAAGGTGAGGACTCTAGCCAATAGGTTATTGTGCTGAAGCCCCCCAAAAAGGTTTTTTTTTTTTTTTTTTGTTCTGTTAAGATGGAAAAAAAGGTTAAGGGTTAAATGCTTAAGGGTGCACTGTCATTTGCTGAAGGGTAGAGACTTAGAGTCAGAGGTCATCCATGGGGCAGGGAATTTAGAACAATGTTTTGTTTGGAGTTCCTAAAGCATACAACGATAAAGGTATTTATTTGGAGTTAGCACTGAGAAGCAGTGGATTAGCACACCCCGCCAGCTGTAAGTGTACTGGTTCATTCACGTCTGGTTTACTCCACTTCTATTCCAGCTCCTGCTAATGTTTCCAGAGGATACTGCTCACCTCCTGCTACACATTCAACAGCACAGTGATAGCCTGGAGCTGCTTCTTTTTATTTATTTTAACATCTTTTTTTTTTTAACTATTATTATCATTTCATGATACAATTCCATAGGCCCTAGGATTTCCCTTCCTCTCCCGCTCCCACTCAGACTGAGTTCTTCCATATATATATATATATATATATATATATGATTTATTTATTTTTATTTGAAAGGCAGATATATGGAAAGGAGAAGAGACAGAGAGGAAGATCTTCCATCTGATGATTCACTCCCCAAGTGACCGCAGTGGCTGGAGCTGAGCCAATCCAAAGCCAGAGCCAGGAGCCTCTTCCAGGTCTCTCATGCAGGTGCAGGGTCCCAAGGCTTTGATCTGTCCTTCACTGCTTTCCCAGACCACAAGCAGGGAGCTGGGTGGGAAGCGGGGCCACCAGGATTAGAACCAGCGCCTATATGGGATCCTGGAGCATTCAAGGCGAGGACTTTAGCCATTAGGCTCTCATGCCATGCCTGAATTCCCCTATATAATTACTACAGTATAGTTCTTCATACAAAGTCATATATCCATCATTGTGGGCATGGATAATGGCAGAGTCCAGCATCCTATTGTCAAAATATAGTTAACAATTTCATTGGGACTCCATCTTTTATCTGGAAGTTAGATGCATACTGCATTGTATCCTCACATCTGGATATGTTAGTCTCCATTACAGTTACTGTACATCCCCTTAGGTGAAAAGCCACAAAACAAAATCAACAACAGGAAGAAAAATAGAAAATTACAGCACCATGACGTTAAGAACATGCTACCGCATGACTAATGTGCCACAGAGGAAATAAAAAAGAAAAAACAAGAACCTTCTTGAAGAAAATGATGCTTCTGTATCATCTATGAGTCAGTGAAGAATTAAATGAGAAAACATGCTTTAAAGAGATGAAACTAGAAAAAAAAAGAAGAAGAAATAAAAGCCTTCCCTAGAGAAATAATTGCAAAACATGTGATATGGTTTCCACTGATATTGGTTGGTGAGATATGTCTCCTGTAGGCAACAAA